GAGGAAATGTAGGCACATGGTAAAAATTATACACTACTGGTATGCAAAGAAACAAGGATTTGACCTCAGGTCTAACTAAGCTTATAGCTTTTGCTTCTTGGGAACATATTTAGAATATTATAGTACCAAACTTTTATCATTTTTTCTTGAAAGGGATTTCAACACCATTCTATTGTATTCTTACATGTCGTATTATTGCATCTTATGGGTACTGTTTCTGAAGGAATATATCTTCAACTTTATAGAGAAAAATGATGGGAAACAGAATCCAATAGAATATCCATTTTGTCTTCTAATCATTTCTAGAACATGGCACTCACATTCTGTTATGTGAAGGTCTCTTGAAGGACTTAACTTTTTAGAGCAAATGGGGATGATTAGAGTTGTTCCCTATCACATAACATATTGCAGAAATGAAGAGGTGACTTTCATAAATATGAATTAATAAAAATTCTAATTTTTATTTTGGACATATAGAAGTATGGGTTTAGCTGGGCTCTGACACTTTGAATAACTGTAGAGGTAGTTTTTTGTTTTGTTTTGTTTTTTTTAACAACTGGTTTCTTAAATATGAATGTGAGTTGAGCTTATAGAACTGTGATTTTTACAGTCTGAAAAACCATATGAAACCCTATTCTCCAAATTCTCCCTCTATTCCCTCTCACCCCCATTTATCAGGCCCCTTGCAGTGTGAAAAGTGGGACACAGTCTCAGATTTCTTTAGCATCATTTAACTCAGTAAAAACAAGTATACCTTCCAGTTTTCGAAACCTTATATTTTTACACTATACTTAAAAGATAGCTACCTGACAAGAACAATTTAAAAATAGCAGACCATGGACAGGTGACAAAATGTCACGCTGGCAGCACCAGACTGCATTAACAAAAATCACCAGATGTCACACACTTGATTCTATTTTCACAGCTGATTAAACAGCAGTATTTGTTGAACAAAAGAAAGGAAGAAGAAATGGCCTCATCTGAATTTGGAATCAGTTTTTCTTTTGCTGTTACATGTTTTTCTCTCTCCACCAAAATCCTATAATAACTGTAAGACTTAAGGCATACAATATATTAAGTAAAAAATAAAATTATAAAATAATCTCCAGTTTTAGAAAAGAAACCTTTACACATATATACTCCCTAAACTGGAAGACTGTAAATCAGGATGTTTTTGTTTTGGTTGTCTTTGATTTGGTTATCGTTTTCTTCATTTTTCTGTGTTTTCTAATTTTTCTCCAATGAAAATATATTGCACTTTATAATCTAAACATTAATTTTTGAAGAGGTAAAGAAAGTAGCTTAAATAAACCATAAGTGGTTTTGCTAAAAAAAAAATTGCATTTAGTTTGGAAAAATTAGATTATATTTAAATTATCGGTTCTGGCCCTGCCGATTTAGCTCAGTGGTAGAGCGTCCACCCGGGGACCTATTCCTGGTCAAGGACACATACCTTTTTGATCCCAGCCCCATTGAGGTCGTACAGGAGGCAGCCAATTAATGTGTCTCTCTCACATCGATGTTTCTCTCTCCCTCTTTCTCTTTCTCTGTTTCTCCCCCCTAAAAACCAGTGGAAAAAATATCCTTGGGTGAGGATTAACAAAAAGTAATAATGATAATAATAAATAATTGGTTCTGGTGGGTCTGGCATTGACCCAGAGTTTGTTATCCTTTATTGATGATATTGATCCAGAGATCTATTGGGTCAAAGAGGCCAACAGAATTAAGGAGAATACCGGCAAAAGCAAAAATTTCTACTTTTTAGCAAGTAGTGATGCCTTCATCTAAAAAACATTGCCCAAGGCTCATGTTTTGCTGCATCTTTAGAAAGATTGAACCAGAAGAAATCAGTGAGACTTAGAGGATGATTAATTAGAAAGCTACCAAGTTTGTTTTTTTTTTTTAATTTTTTTAATTGATTTTAGAGAGGGAGAGGGAGAGAGAGAGAGAGAAACATCAGTGTGAGAGAACATTGATTGGCCGCCTCCTGCATGCCCCCCACTGGGGATCAAGCCCACAACCTGGGCATGTGCCCTGACTGGGAATCGAACCGGCGACCTCTTGGTATATGGGTCGATGCTCAACCACTGAGCCACACCGGCTGGGCTTCATTTTCATTTTTCCTGGCTGAAAAGTCCTGAAACCTCATGGAAAGAGATCAGAAAGGATCCAACCTCTGGAGGACTACAGAGAGGGACATACAAAAACATACAGAAACATACAAAAACTGTTACTTGATGTAGTGATTGTAGTGAGTGTATGATAATTCTATACCATAAATGATTATATCACAGGAAATAAAAGATATTGAATGAAGATCAGCTAAATTTGGACTTACTTGGTTTTATTGATGACCCTTTATTATTCTAGGAGTGCTTAGGGAACATACCTAGCAGGGTTTTTTTTTAAATGCTTTTAAAGAATATGTTTTATTGATTTTTAGAGAGTTGGGGAGATAGAAACATCCATATGAGAGATGGCTGCCGCTGGCACACCCCCTACTGGGGATAGAGCCCAAAACCTGGGCATGTGCCGACTGGGAATCAAACTGGTGACCTCTTGGTGCATGGGTCACTGCTCAACCACTGATCCACACTGGCCAGGTAACATACCTACCTTTTAAGAATCACACTCACTTCTGAATATTCCTTGCTTAAAGATCATAGAGACCTTTTCTATATGCCATTTCTTTAAGTTCTGATGGGCAGTAATTTTGAACTCCTCTTGGGTTTTTAGGCAGACTTTCTAGTGACTGGCTATTTAATTTGTTCAATTTGAATACCTCAGAATATGATGAGTAAATCACATCTAGTTCTCATTGGTTGTTAGTATTTGGTGGTAATGAATCCAAAGATTGTCTTGATTATCTGATAATAATGGAGAGAATATTGCTATATCTAGATAACTAAAATCAGAATATAAATTCTCTCTACTTAGTCAAAGCCTTGTTCTGGTGACAGATTTTCCTATAATAGGTTCTGATCAAGGTGGTGGTAGGAGATAGCACTTGTTGTATATGGTGTAGACTATAATTTTAGGGACTCTAAATTGACTTAGGAGCTGGAAAAACATAAGATACAGATACCGTTAAATGAATCTTATCAGTGGCTAATTGTTGAAACTCATTATTAGCTTCTAGTAAATATGAAAAGATCTAAAAAAAATGATAAAAAATAAAACAGGCAATTCGATTATTAAGAGGTGACTCATTACTAGTATGATGATTTTTCTGTAAAAAAACATTAAAATATATTATAAAAAATAATTTTACTATACTAAATGTTAGTAAAGTAGTTTCCACAAAACTAGAGATAGATGTAATGTCTTCCCCCTTTTATTATTTTTAAGGAAGTTAAAAATAATAAAAAACAAAAATATTTTTTCTTGAAAGTTCTTTAATGGTGAAATTAGAACAGTTTCATCAGAATCCATGAACTGTTGATGATTTTTCTATTCTTAATTACTCTCTGTCACACACACACACACACATCAATGTAAGCAATATTACACTTACGAGAGTTGTTTTTCCCTATCCCTTAGTATGAAATGACCTTTCACAAATTACTGTGACCTGAGGGTCTTCTTTAAGAGATTAGGATGGCTTTGATTTGACAAGGAATTCATGATTCCCCCTTTTTACTTGAGGCAAATACTATGTTTTGTCAACTGTAATTTTTTTCACCTTTTGGGCCAGAAGAGCTTAATAATCCTTTGAACCCCAGTACCCCATAACAGAATTCAATACCAAATGATGACTAACCTTTTGCAATTATGTATAACACTTTATTTATTGTAGAAGTCTCTTCTTTCTTATCTCCAGCTTTCTCTGCATCACTCTTCCCCCAAATGCTGTTGACATTTATTTAAACAATGGTAGTGACCTAAAATTAACATTTTTCTGATAATTGTATAGGAACTCTTGACATAATTCATCATGAAAACCTTACAGAGCCAAGTTCATAGATACTAGCTTTACAAAAAGCATTGTTTCAATGATGATTTTGTTGCAGAAATTGGTCAAGGAAACTTACTAAGTACATTTTTTCCATATAGGACTGTTTCATTTTTCTTTTGATACATCCACCCCTTTTTCCTAAATAATTAATGAAAAAGCAAACCAAATGTTTACATCTTCCACCCTTAACCTTGGAGGCTATTAGTAGAAACATCTGATTTATTCTTGTCTTCTTGGACCAGAACTTGGCAAACTGTCTATAAAGGGCCAGACAGTAAATATTTCAGGCGTGTGGGCCACATGGTCTCTGTTGCACATTATTATTTGTTTTTTAATTTTTGTTTTTACAACCCTTTAAAATTGTAAAAATGATTCTTAGCTCAGAGAAGGTGTACAAATACAATTAGCCAACTAACATGGGCAGAAGTTTGCAATCCCCATTTCTACTATAAGGACAAAGGTCTGAAGACAAGCACCGTGTCCAAGGTTATATAACTAGTTAGTGATGGGGGAAGCAATAGGAACCCTAGATGTTTAGGTCAGTCATTGTTCCCCAGCCCATTATATAAACTTTACCATCTTTCTTGCCATTCTGATAATTGTTGCATTTTTGTCACTATGAAACCTTTATCTTTCTATTTTCTCTAAGCTTCAAGTTTATATTGTTTTGAATTCATTATTTTGCTGCTTGAATTTGAAGGGCACTGTGAATGGTTGTTTAAAAAATGCTTAATTCAGGGAGTTGGCATGTTTTAATCGGAATGTGGGAGATGCATTAAAATTTCAGGTGATTATAATGGAAGCTGCTTTTTTGTTTTGTTTATTTGTTGTTATTGAGACTTTCGCTTTGTTTTAAGATTTTTCATGTGTATATTTTATGACTTGATTTAAAACTGTTGTAATTGCTATGGCCTTTGATAGCATTGTTTGTTATAGATTAATTTGTTTTAGCTTTTTGTAATGTTCATATTTTCCAATGTGTTTGAAACAATTATTTTAAGCATTATTTTCTTTGTGCTTAAAATGAAATTATTTTACTTTTCAGGACGCATGGGAATAAATTTCCATCATCCAGGAACAGATAATATTATGGCACTTAACAGTAAGTCTTCATGTGATTATTCTATAAAATTATAGTCAAGTTTACAGCATGTTATTTCCCCTTTTTCTCTTTTTAGTCCTTTTTTATTTTTCAGTTACAGTTGACATACAGTACTATATTAGTGTTAGGTGTATGTACGCAGTGATTAGACATTATATAACTTACTACATGATGATTTATCAGGATGTTATTTCCACTTTTTAATTGTTTACTACATTTCAACCTCTCAATGAGTGCAATGTACACCATTATGTTATTCCATTGTTTCTCAAGGTGTGGTCCCTGGACCAGCAGCATCAGTATCAGTTGGGAACTTATTAAAAATTCAGAATCTCAGGTCCCACTACAGACCTGTTGAATCATGAACTTTAAGGATGGGGCTCAGAATTCTGTGTATTAACAAGTCCTATAGGTGATTCTGATGGAAGTTTAAGTTTGAGAACGGCTACTGTATACCAGGGGTTGATAAACTACAGCCTTGTAGGCCAAATCTCACCACTGCCTGTTTTTATAAAGAGCTCTATTGAAACAGCCACACCCATTCATTTATGGATTGTCTGTGGCTACTTTTGTTTTATAACAGTAGAGCCCCAAAAGCCTCAACTATTTATTATCTGATCCTTTGCAGAGAACTTTGCTGACCCCTGCTGAATACAAATGGGGGTGGAGTAAGGAAAGAGAAGGAAAGGAGGGAGGTGGAGGGAGAAAGGGAGTAGGGTAGAAAATGTGAATGAATAAGTCCATTTATTATACATAACTCAGAATTTTCTCATTTTGGTAGATAGCCAACAGGTGCTTCAAAACGGATGTCAGGGTTCTCCCATTAGTGTACATGTTATCAACAACTTTGCAGTTTAGAAATATTTTTGTCTTAATAATTGTTGGATTGAGTTCTGGAGCATCAGAACCTTATTAACCCCAAGTCGTTGTATTAATTAATACTGGAAGAAATATTTGGCTGGCATCAATTGTCCTTCTCAGTGTCAGTAGACCAAATAAATACTTTGCAGAAGACATCATATTCTCAGCTCTCCTGACTTGATAGGAAAGACAGATATCATGGTGAGCATTTGCACTTCTCAGTACTATTGCCTAAGTTTAAATTGGCCAATTTCCCATTCTTTGGTGTTCCTTGTGTATACCTTTCCAGTTATACTTCTGAGAATTACCACAGCTGATGTCATCTAACCTGAAATTTTCAGTTGTTGGAAGGACCTGTGCAAGTCATTGATTTGAGTTTTCTCATCTATCAAATGAGTGATATCAGGTTGTCTACTCTTATCCTCTCAGATATACAAGCTAACTCTTGATACACATGAGGGACATCCTGGGTAAAGCTAGGGTTGTGTACAGTATTACCCCTTTCCCTCTTGCTTGAGTAGGGATGTTAAAATGCCAGTGGAGTTCCTTTAGGTTATCTCTAAAAAATATATTTCAGCCCGGGCCAGTTTGGCTCAGCAGTTAGAGCATCAACCTGTGGACCAAAGGGTCTCGGGTTCGATTCCCAGTTAAGGGCATGTTCCTGGGTTGCAGGATCAATCGCTGGCCCTGGTTGGGGTTGTGCAGGAGGCAACCAATCAATGTGTGTCTCTCACATCCATGTTTCTCTCTCTCTCTCTCCCTTTCTCTCTCCCTCTCCTTCTCTCCCTCCCATCCTTCCACTCTAACTAAAAATCAATAAAAAAATATCCTCAGGTGAGGATTAACCACAAATAAAAAGATAAAAATAAAATATATGTATTTCACATTTCTTTTGGTTCTGACATATAACCTACCTCCCACTGAACACTGCAGATAACCCCGGCAGTGCTTGGTGATGCAGGTTCTAATTCACTTCGTGCACATTTGTTCTGAATAGCTAGTATCCCCTCTTTTCAAGGGTCTTGGAAACATTAAAAACTCCAGACTGCCCTGGCCGGTTTGGCTCAGCGGTTAGAGCGTCGGCCTGTGGTCCTGAGAGACCCGGGTTCGGTTCCCGCTAAGGGCGCGTACCTCGGTTGCAGTTTGTCCCCGGCCCTGGTCGGTCGTGCGGGTGGCAGCCACTCGATGTGTCCTTTCACATCGATGTTTCTCTCTCTCTCTCTGTTCCTCTCTTTCCCTGCCACTCTACCTGAGCAAAAAAATGGGAAAATGTCCTCGGGTGAGGATAAAAAAAAAAACCAAAAAAACCCCCTCCAGACTGTTCACCTCTATTTTCTAATCTCTAAAAGAAGGGTAACTTTACATGTTATATTATGCTACCTCCAATGTTTTCTCTAGAAGTAGATACATTGGAGTGAAGATGAATAGGCATGCTTAACTGGCTGAGCTTCAACGAGTTTGTGAAAGCTTGTGAAAACACTTCAGCTAGGTGATGGGATTTCGAGTTGAATGTTAAAGGAAAGAACAGCATGGTAGTGTCTGCCTGAAGGAATGAGTGTATTTGAGAAAAGGTCCAATTTGACATGATGTGAGTCCTCTTTTGCAAGAGGGAGAGGATACAATTTTTTATTTTCTGTGTAAAGAAAATGAAGCTAGAAGACATTTTTTCTTTCTAAAAGAAAATTCTCTGCTTTTAAATAAGGTGTTTTGTTTATGTTCTTTCCACTTTGTGCATGTTACTTAACATGCCCCTTTTAGCCTCTAAATTTTCTCATCTGTAAGAGAAGAGGACTAAATTAGGTTATCTTAATGATTGCTTTCATACTGAAGATTCTGCGATTTTGTAATATATTTTAAAATACCAATAGGGTTGACATGTCTGGAGTGGCTCAGTTGGTTGGGCATCGTCCTGTGCACCAAGGGATTGCTGGTTCAGTTCCTGGTCAGAGCACATACCCAGGTTGTGGGCTTGATCCCTGGTGGGAGGTGTGCAGGAGGCAGCCGATCGATGTTTTGCTCTCACATCAATGTTTCTCTCTCTCTCTCCCTCGCTCCCTTTCTCTCCCTTTAAAAATCAATTTAAAAAATATTTTTAAACAAACCCAAAAAGGTCATTTTTCAATATCTGTATCAAATGTTGAAGAGTTATGCATATTTGCAACTTTATGGTGGACATGAGAGTGTATCTGTCTTCAAATGACTCTGATTGCTGCCTTGTAGTCTCCTCAGAGCTAACCATAAAGACAACCAGAGTTTGACATTTATATTACTTTCATAAGTTCTCTTTCAAAGTTGACTGCAACTTGAAATGATCATAATAAACAAAATATCCTTTTTGGTAGATATTTGTGAGACCTACAGGCTTTGATATATTTGCTGTGATAAAGCTTTTTTATTTCTTTTGTATAGTAGGGCCCAGCCCATCTGGTGACTTTTATATGTAATACATGCACAAACACATCTGAGTATTTTTTGTCTTCCTTCTTATGCCTACTGTTTGTCAGCCCAACAATTATTGTCCTGTGACTGGTCTGTCTTTCCCTTTCCCTCAACCTTCCTATAGGAATAACTGACATGAAGTCACAAGTCATTGAAACACTGTTAATTCAGAATTTGTGTTTATTGAAAGATACTGGGTTGAATGAAGTTGAACTGTATTTTCAGACTGGAAGGGACTACTGAGAAAATTCAATCAGTGGTTAAATTTAAAACAAAAGAAATGTTACTCAGTTTTAATTCCTTCTTTCTTACACGTTTTTGCTTTGCAAAATCCATGCTTCCTAACTCTACATAATGCTACCATTCACTGTATCTTAAAAAAATGTTCTGTCCTTTTCTTACTTCTTTGATCTCGCAAAAAGACATCATATTCTCAGCTCTCCTGACTTGATGGGAAAGACGGGTATTATGGTGAGCATTCTCACTTCTCAGTACTACTTTCTAGCTTTGAATGGGCCTGTTTTCCAGTTTTTGGTGTTCCTAGTATATACCTTCCAGTTATATTTTCCTCTGAGAATCACCACTGCTAATGTCATCCCGAAGACAGAAAATGGAGCTAGGGAGAGGAGGACAGGATACCAACTATAGAAAACAGTAAACCTATAGACATTTAGGGTGTGGAAGGACTGGCAAGATTTGTATAAAGCCGAAGAATCTACTGGTATTTCCTGTTTAAGAGCATGAATCTAGTAAGAATTATCAGGCCAACCTTTGGGGAGGACACTAAGAGATACTAAATTTTGGCTTTTCCTGAAAATATTAGGTGCTCAAATATTGTAGAATATAGAAGCATAGATGGGAGAAGAAATCCTGATCCATCCCTAAGACCTGCCACTTGTTTGGTATTTCCCAAATAAAGTTAGTTATGAGAGTATGCCCCTTCCATTTAACCTGGCAATATGCCTAATTTCTTTTGTTTTTGTTACACTCTAAGAGGTATAGAGTTGAGTTTAGTAGTTGTGGGCTTGTACAGGGTTAATGCCTGACTTGGTGATTTTTAGTTTGACTTTTTTGTTATCCTCACCCAAGGACATTTTCCATTTTTTGTTCAGGTAGAATGGGAGGGAGAGAGAGGAAGAGAGAGAGAGAAACATTGATATGAAAGGGACACATCGAGTGGCTGTGCCCGCACAACCAACCAGGGCCGGGGACAAACTGCAACCAAGGCACATGCTCCTAGCAGGAGCCGAACCCGGGTCGCTCTGTACTGCAGGCCGACGCTCTAACTGCTGAACCAAACTGGCCAGGACTAGTTTGACTTTTTAGATGACAAGATCCAGTGCTGCTATTTCTATCTGAATAGATTTTGAAGTAAAATTAATATACAGTTGTGGTATGAATACATTATAAATGATGGCTAATTAAAAATGAAAAATAACCTGTCCAGTGTGGCTCAGTGGATTGAGTATCGTCCCATGAACTGAGAGGTTCCGGTTCAATTCCAGGTCAGAGCACATACCCAGGTTGCGAGCTTGATCCCCGGTTGGCATCTAGGAGGCAGCCAATCAATGTTTCTGTTTCACATTGATGTTTCTATCTCTCCTTTCCTTCGTCTTTCTCTAAGAAATCAGTAAAACATTGAAAAAATATGAAAAATAGTCATTAGAGGGATGTGTAAATGTTCTGTAACTTGCAAGTAC